CAGCACTTGTCCTACGGCTGTTTTGACCTCAGATATAACCCCGTTCCCACAGACAAACATTGCACGAACGGATGCGTCCAATGCCCGTACACACAGACACGGACACAGACGTACATTCAAAACGCACACACACACACACATACACACAATGCGTGAGAGGTTATTTGGCAAACTGTTCCTGACTCATTCGATTGTAAATCGCCTTGAACAGGTTAGCCACGGTAACCGAAACGTCGGCTTATTTTCACCTGTACCGACATCGCTGTGTTTTCAAAATTACAAGTTATATAAGACAGTTTATCTTATTTCTAATTCTACTGGTGTTGAGGTGAATGAGGCCCGATACCTGCAACAAACTCCCATAGATGGGTTGTGCTATATCAGCTAAATGGAAAATGAAAAGTGGTCTGCTCCGTGGCCGAGTGAGTAGCATGCGTGCGTTCTGCTTGTGAGGTCCCAGGTTCGATCACAAGTTGAATCGGTGGATTCGCATCGCAGATGAAACCCGACCAGCTCGAAACAACTGTACAGTGCTTCCTACCTTTTCAATTCACGCTTCATTTGCACTATACATAACGGATTCATCCTATGAAATTGAACCCAATATCTTTCAATTTTTTTCAGACATTATATGCATGATTGTCAGCTCCATCCTTTCACACTTCATTCTGTCGCATGTGTTACTTCCAGTCCCACCATTGGAAAGATCCTACTTAATGATATTGCTCTCTGTTTGATATGCTGAAAAACCACAATTCCCCATCTTCACGACTATGGTGTTTTCAATACAATTAGTATTGCTGAGTTGTGTGATTAGGGACAAGGTCATCAATGCGCGTGTTGGAGATGACCTCTTTTCTGCGGTATAAATTCGTAAACGGAAGCAGACAGCACAGCACTCATGCGATCCACTTAGATTATACATTTTTACGTCAAGAATTTCCAGAAGTCACGTCCACCATTTCAAATTGGACTGATCCGTGTGTGTGCGTGTCTGTGCGTGCGTGAATAGATGGTATCAAGAAATATCTATACTCTATTCATCTACATCATGCAAGTGGGAGCTAGCTGAATTAGAGTTAAAGTTCACTTACCACCGGACCGTATGTCATTCACGCTCTCGTGTTTTGGAATGAATTCATATCTCGGGAAACTGAAGATGAACAACAAAAAATTATTATTGGCAATGTAACGAGGTACGAAGAAGTAATAGTTGTATTATTTTGCTCCACACGGGAAAAAGTGATTCTGTGAAAAAGGTTGTTTACTCAAATAATTTCAGCGCATTCAAAAATTAATAACGATTGGGCCACAACCAGATTTGTTACATTCTATCAGGTTCCTAATGAATATTTGCTTCGATGTTTCATATCAAAGTGGTCAACAGAACTCATTCACGATAGGCTTCCCGTTAAATTTTACTCATGTGAATTGACAACCTATACACACTTATGGACATAATAAGTCTCATTCCGTTACGAATCATAAAAGATGAAAAACAATAGCATTTCAGAAGTAGTGAGGCAAAAGTTTTGAGAATATATAATAACTGGACAATCCATGCCGAAATGCAAATGATCAACCATAGGCTCTTTGTAATCACTATTAGTGACTGGAGTGATTTTTGTGCTAATCGCTCAGGAAACTGGTTTGTTTCACTTCAGTTGATTGATTTTAAATTCATCAGAAGGCTGATTCCACCGACCGCTAACAACTTGTCTAGTTTCAAATACATGTACAGAAAGTGTGTGAGGCATTTTAACCATTCTTGTCACAGACAGAGAAAATGACAGGGCTGTGATTTTGATACACCATAGAGTTTATTCTCAGTAACAAGCTATCAATAAAACCGAAGAGCCATCTCCTCGAATTGGTTGCAATCCTAACCTTCATGAATTCTCTTTCTTCACTTTGACACTGATTTGAACATTCCAATTTTCCCTTTACTCTTTCATCCAAATGTGCAGCCAAGAGACAGCAACCAAAACCGGCGTAATAAAGTGCATGCTTAATGGTTTTAAAACTGAAACTGGAAAAGTCCAATATGTCTGACCTACCCCGTCGATAGATCTGGAGATACGAGCTCTGTGAGAATCTTCGACACATCATGTTGAAACTCATTATCTTTCATCAAGTTCAAAACAGCTCCGCTCGGATTCGAATTGTCTGCCCGGTCCAGTTGTAGTGACCGTTCCGGTGAGGATTCGTTTCGGTCCCGATGAGCCGTAGAAGAATCTGTCAGGACTAGCCCCGAGTTGGGCATAGACGCATGAGAATCATCCTCATCCTCTTGATGCTTCTGAATGTTTGGTTGTGATTTTGATCCCTTCGTCTTCTTTGTGTTGCCCTGCTTGACAGGTTTTACATCTGCAATATCCTTGCGCTTAGACTGTTTCTGTGAAGATCCTTTTTGTTTCAATTGCGCTTCCAGTGGGTTCGAGACTGAGGAAAGTACAAACGAACGAGAGGTGCTACACTAGATTCTGTGTGATGCGAGAAAGAAAGTCAATGTAATCAGAATCGTTTGAGATAGGTTTGATGGCAGGTTGCAGTGTTTTTTCAAGTTGGGAAAAGTTCAATAACCTCGGTCGGATTTGAAACCACGCATGGACTCCGCCCACGCTGTCGTTACTATTGATCAGGTTTTGTAGCTCAGCTGATAGGCCATACGCTCTATAAAAGATTAGGTGGCATCTATGTTTGGGTTCGAATCCCCCCGAGGCTGCTGAACTTTTCACAATTTGAACAAAATAGAATCGTTTTGAAACGTTTTATTTCATAATTATCTCGGTTCAAACTGTGTCCCAAGCAAATCCCTGTACAACAATTTGTAAAAAGAGGAAATCAGTGAGTGGAATACCAACAAGGCCAAAGCAGAGAAATGTTTTTGCGATAATCAAAAAGGGAGATTTCGTATAGCTAAAGCCTCATCCCCCCCTGCAGGTTGTATTTCCGAATGGTAGCCATTAATTCGAGCGAACTCACACCGTCCCAGTTAGAATACTTTTGCCACTGAAACTCTCTAAGAGAAAAAACCTTCGAAAACCCCTATACCTACACATCAAAAGAAAAAATCCGTTGCTCCTGTACTAAGAACGGCTCGCAGACCCGCCTTTTATGAAAGGTATTGTATTGTATTGTATTAATGACTTTGCGAGTTATATTCAAACTTTCAGCCAAAAATAGGTCATGGTCACAATACTGGTAAAAAGAGGAAACAATGGGGCATTAATTATGCAAACATGTGAATGAACTACCAAATGTATTGGAAAGCTCAGAATGAACATTCTGCTTATCAGTCAGTGTGCCAAAGAGTTTCTGTGGGCAGATATTTGAGATGAGATGAGTTTTTATTTGGAACGGATGGAGCGGTGAGATTTGCATGTACACAGGTGAGTGTGTAAAGGATGGTGGCAATCAGATAGAATATTGTTAGCAAGCTTTAAGCATCAATATGACCACCACAGATATTGTCAATCAGAACAGATAAAGAAACTTAAGGAAACACGGTTGATTATTGAAATGCTATGTATCAGCAACCTGAAATCGGCCATCAGCGAAAAACGGAAAAGCATAGGAGAGCAGCGAAGGGGTAAAGGAAAAACACATAGTTGAACAACAACTCCTATCACCGACAAATCAGAAAAGAAGTGGCTTAAGCCAGAGACAGATGTCGAGTTGGGAACATGACTAGGTACGTGTGAATAATGTAAGCCATCCAAATGTTCCGCGGAAGGTCTTTACAATCATTTAACACCCAGTGTCGGTCACTATTCGAAAATTTTGCATATATATATATATATGTGTGTGTGTCTGTGTGTGTTGCTCCTTGCGCGAGAACCATTGACATTTCTGGGGATGGCTATTGTAAATGCACTATTAATACTTAATCTCAGTGATTGTAATTCTGTTAAGTCAGGACCGCGGTTGAATTTGCCATTGTCCATAAAGTCTATGAGGACCGTCAATGAAACAACCATTAATGACATTTGAGAATGAAGGGAGTGAGTGATACCACGGAGTTCCCGTAATGCAGTATAAGAAAAATGCAAGTCGATAGGAGTTTGACAGAGTCGATCGTCAAAATGAGTTGGAACCTCCAGTCAACGGTACAATCTTACTTTGCTTCAACGATGTCAACGGTGCCGGGTGCGAATGATAGTTACTCACTTACTTACTTACTCGAAACCAACAAGTGATCACACTCAAACTTCACGCAGACATAGACAGGCTATTCGCCAGGTTATTTATGGTTTCTGTCGGAGTGAAAACAATCGGTGAATGCACAGGAAATATTATGCTGAAAGGGACACGAACGAAGAACAAATGAATGAATGAAAAAGGATCCTGGTGAGAAGTGAACAACTGCGAAAATTCACAGCAGAATGGTGTGTGGAATTTATGTCTATAATCGAAGTTGTAAAAATTAGGCTAACTTTGTTCCCGAGACAGACATGCGGGAAACAACTGATAATGAGTTCCTTTCCGAAAAATAAACTTATACTGACAGTTTGATCGTGTGTTATTTCAAACGCAATGGGACAAGAACAAATACGAAGGTACATTGATGCTAAGAGCATATATTTGTATTATAATTACGTTTTAAGTTTGTTTATAACTATCCGCTTCGAGAGCAAACAGCCCTGCGGAGCGAATTAATTCGGTCGGTCCCAACGATGATTGCTATACGGGTAGATATGGATGGGAGGGGTGGTGATGGTGATGGTGGTGTTAGACGGTGGTAGCTCACCAGAATGCTTGGGTATATCTGGTTCGGCTAGATCCA